ATTCGCAGGTTGTTCATCCATCAGCGCTGGGGCTCGAAGTTGGCCATGAAATCGCAGTAAAATATTTCGGACGCGACCCTGTTTCGGGTCAGGTGCGAGTGTCAAGAAAAGTTCTCCAAAACTCAGCTGCAGTACTTGGGAAACCTTCTGGAGGGGATGCTGCTGTCGAGGATGCTGCGCAGTCGAGTTGAGGCAAATTTCTTATTCGTCGCCACTTGCAATTTTTGATAAAGCGATGCGAATTCTATGCCGATTTTTGTATGGTCGCCTTTTTTTCTCTCTGGAAAGAGGAACTTCTGTTCATAGGCTCGCCGACTGAATCTATTTCTAGTACTGAGATTTAATTGGCGTGTCTTTTCGCAGGTGAATGCGATCGCAGTGATTTATTTTAATTTTTTTGTCGCCGCATGAGTTAACGTTTAGAATTCGTTTGTTGAAAATTCAGAGGCGCCATGGCGGCGCGATTGTGCTTGCGATGGAATAAATTTCCGGGCACTCTTGCGGAAGAGTTCGACCTTTTGCGGCATGAGCGTGAATTTGTTGATGTGACTTTGGCCTGTCGGGAAGGTCAGGATTTCTCCGCCCACAAGGTGGTTCTTTCAGCATGCAGCCCGTATTTTCGCGTCCTTTTAAACGTGAGTATCCTTCATTCGTTCGAATTTTGCGGATAAAACTATATTCGTGTTTTATATTTCAAGTACATGTACCGTATATATGCGTCCATGGATTTTACACCGCTCTAATATTTCAAGCTCGATTCCTGATACCTTGATCTGTTGAAAATGCGTTTCTTAGTGAACTGAATTTCATTTTCTGGAGTTCCTTGAATTTGAGTAAATGAACACATGAAGAACACAAACCTTTATTTTTTCGTATATTCAGTGACGATCGAATTGCGACTGCGAATTTTTCGTTCAAACTGAACGTGTATCAAAAATCGGAGTATATGCCCGTATTGTTGAAACGGTTGCATTGTTGTATGCAAAAGTAACACCATTTCTTTGCCCTGGGCCACCTCCCACCTATAGCTTGTAAGGCAGCACTGCTGTAAATTTTGCATGATTCATGCATGACAATTCATCCTGATGTAAGTTTTTGGAATTTTTTTGAAAGATACTACTTACAGGTTTCGTCTGTGTTTTTTTTTTTTTTCAAAAATCTTCATGTAGATTGCTAGAAGTCCTGCTTGAAATCCAATTACGCGCATTAATCTATTTTTAAAATCTCCATCTACAATTTCAGAAAATTCCCTGCCAGCATCCCGTTATCTTTCTAAAAGATGTTCGACCTGAAGAAATGGAAGCACTGTTGCAGTTTATGTATACGGGTCAAACCAGCATCTGCCAGAATAAACTTGCTGTTCTACTGCAAGCAGCGGCTGCCCTTCAGATCAAAGGATTGGCGGAGGTTTCTGGACTCTCCTACGACGATGTAGGTCATCTATTTTGATTTTCCGGTTTTTAAGGGATTGGTTTAATACGCGATCAAGATATTGATTTTATAGTTTTTGTGTAGTTTTGGACCACGCAAAAACTTTTTTCCTTCCGAAATCGTAAAATTGGGTTTTTTTCCCGTCCTGAATTATCCCTGTCATTTTGTTCTAGTTGGAACGTGGGGATGTGGGAACTACGGAAACAGCCACGTGTACTCAACAAGTTGTCGGTGAAGCGCGGAATACGGGGCGTAAACCAGTTCCTCTGAAGAACGACACCACCAGGAGGGATGGTTCCAGTGAACCGACAACAAAAAAGAGGAAACAACTTCCGGTTTTGCAGGTGAAGAGCTTTTCCTCTGGATCGTGATTCCTCACGAGCTGTTGAATTAGAACGCGTGGAAGTGGTTGACCGCCTCCTTCAAGTCTCGTACCGTTGTGATTTGTAATAAGGCGAAGAATCTCAGAATTTATTATGACGTCGATTCAAAATTTTGGGGGGCATCAGCCCTCGAATTCTGGGTTTTCTGTGCAACTGTTCCGTTTATTTTCATCAAGTCGCAGTTTCTGGAAGATGCTGGAGAAATTTTCTGACCGTTTAGCTATAGAATAAGTTCATTGTTTATCCAGACTAAATAATTTTGCATTCCTTGTCAGAATCCGGAAAATTGACATTATTCCCCCTAATGCAACAAGCAATGCCGCGGAGTGGTCAGGAAGAATTGGACGTACAGATAAAATCTATCTTTTTTGGCGTTATTTGATTAATGAAGTTCTTGATTTTAATTTCTATCGCTTTTGCGTCACCCACTAAAAATTATATGAACAATTCTTCGTGCTCCGGAGATGATTTCTTTGAAGATATCCTCGGGAAATTTGTATTTCACCTCTGTTTTCGCACTCATTTTTATGCTTTGTGCCTATTTTATTTTCTATTGCTGCGGGAAACCTGATGGGTTTTCTGGAAATTTTGTATTGCCTTTAGTTCTTCAAAGTTCAAACCGGTTAGTGTCCCTGATACTTGAGGGGTGAATGTCTTACTAATATGTAATTTTCTTCTGATGCATACTCTCGAAGGCCATCACTACGAACGAACAAAAGCCGATGCATGGAAATGGAA